GATAAGCTCCATTGCCCTTCTCGTCGATTGATTCGGGCGATTAGAAAGATCAGACGAAGTGTCAGCGGCACGGTGCGATGCCTTGTGTGCGGAAAGGTGGTGGTGGAATGGATGGGGCTGCTTTCCTCCGCCCTCGTAAGCAGCCAGCAGCCCCTTTGCCGTCACTTGACGTTCGTCTGTAGTTCGGGAAGCCCCTTTCGGGGCGCACGTTGCATGTAGAAGCCTCGTTTCAATAAATACGACACAATTGGCACCGCAGAGATCGCTGTTGTGGTGGTCGGGTTCCCCGTCAATCCACGAAAGGCCCAGCCACCCTCGCGAACGTGTCGGCCTCGAGAACGGCCATGTGAAGGCGGGCACGAAGTGTGGAGGACGGGATATGTTGGGGTCGGTTGTTATCGCAATCAGCATCCGGAAAGTCCTGCGGCAGGGCCCTGCCAAAATCCATGAACTGATCGGTGGGCTCCCGATCTATCTCCAGCGCGCGTCTGCACGACACAAAACCGTCGATGGCAATTTGAGCGTGAGCATCCCCACGGTGCCAATAATAACCGTATGCGCATCGGAGGTCGACAAGGACTCCGGAGACGACGTCATTCCATACACGCGGGGCCCAAGTGTTGACGTCCAATGCAAGGAAATGCAGTACCTGATCCTCTGCACCGAAGCCATCTTCCAAGGGGAAGGTGTGGAAAGGCAAAGGCATCGAGTGAGGAAGACGTGGTCGCCCAAAATTGCCCTGAGACGTTTGGGTGTTGACCCGCCGTCTCCCTCCCGTGAGAGTGCGTTGGGGAAACGTGGATGCGGCTGTGGAGTTCATCTGGCGGCCCTCTCCGAGAGGTGGGCGTCTCGCGTTGAAATGGCGTCTCCGCGTCCCGTAATGTGAGATCCGCGTGCCGACAAGTGATTATGCGCCTCTTCCACCTGGGAGTAAAGCTGAGCACTCCGATCTGCAACGTCCGCGACGGCGCTGGCGTAGTCGGTGCTCAACCTCTGCCCTCCAGCAATGATCAGCCCCTGCTGGACTCCCAACTCCCAGGCCGCCCAAACACGATGGGCAGCAGCAATAGAACCTCGAAATTAGGTACTTGAGGCGCCCGGCGATTCGGAAAGTGCCCCGCAACGGTCAGCTCCTCCCAGTGCATGGCGATGTTTCCTGAAACCAAGCGTAAGCCTGTCATTGTTGCGGCGACGGTTACCACCGCATCCAACGGCCCGTGTTCATCAACGAAGCTGAGCTGCACCCGGACATCGCAATGCTGGCGTGCCAAGTCCAACAGGCGGGCTCCAATGTCGCTCCTCCCCGTCGCAGTGTAAAAGGAAACACTGCCATTTCCTTCAATCAGCTTGCAGGGATCCCGAGTGGCTGTAAAAACTAAAATAATTACAAATCGTCTGGACGCTAACAGTTCCCTGATTCCCTCAGTGACGGTCAACCAAGGATTCACAAAATAGAAAAGGATCGTGAAGGAATATCTCCGTTTTAACAGGATACATATACATTAGGGACGCCAGCCTACTTCATGAGCATCCTCCTCACGAGCTCCCAATGAAACAAAGAAATATCTCTCTACTATTCCTTCCTATCGCATGAATTCCTTTAGAAGAGCGCGATGGAAGCAACCAAAGGAACCGATAACGTCAAGCTGAATATTTTTATTTATGCCGTACCATCCGCCCCCTCTCTTGATTCCCACCCCTGCGACGGGGTCTTTTGGCTGGAGAGGCCCAAAGTCCGCCACTTCGTAAGCTATAAAAATAGGCATATCCGAATAGAGCGTTCAACATGTCACAAGAGAGGGGCCACCAGAATATATAAATATACACATATATGCGGAGCAAGCAACGAGGATTTGGCGAACCCACTGCCTCTCCGTTTACTCATTCTCCCTTTCCGTCGTATTTTATTTCCTTCGGAAATTTGAGGATCCGGCCAGCAGCCCAGACGAATAATTCCTTCCTTTCTTCCTCCTGTTTGCGTGCGTGCCACAGGCACGGTTTGATTCAAGTGGCATTGGCGCTTCCACGCAACCACATCCTTCCGTTGCCGCATTTGCGGGGCAAGTGGGTTTGGGCATCCAGAGCACACACACACACACACACGGCCGCAAAAAGAGGGACGGGGCGCATTCAAGTCCACGGCGCGGTCCTTCACTTCTCTCCGCCCAGACGGAATAGCGCTGCGCCTCGCAGCGGGTCGTGGCGGGCGGCGTCCCACACTCAAAATTGAGGTACGGGGCACACCATCCGCTCCCTCCGAGTGCACTCAGCAGGTCGGCGCTCAGTCACCCCAGTGCCATCGCAAAGGGGGAACACAAACAATCGTCGTCGCGGACCATAGGCGCCTCTAGCAGAAAAGAAAAAGAAGAAGAAGTGGGGGCGTGTCAGCAGCACAGCCGGCAGAGGGACAATAAAAAGGGACACGAAGACACAAAGTGACATGGGACACGGCACAGAAGGAAAAGAGACTGTAGTGATTTACCGAAAGAAAAAAAAAGCAAAAAAAAAAACAATTGATTCGGCAGATATGTCATTTCATGTGCCACGCAGCACAATGCAACCGTGTTTTTGAGTTTGTACATACTGCCCGCACACACACACACAAAAAAAGGAATTGTACTCTCCCACCAGCCCACACAACATCCCTCACATTCCATGCGGCATCCGGCCTGCTCCTCCACTCCTCCTTTCGTGCAGTCCGTGGGACGCACAGCAGTGAGGCCGGCACCGCGTGTGGACAAAAAAAGAAACAAAAGAGGGAGAAACACGTCACTCGTGACGGTGTGCAGCAAGCGACCATTTTTGGGGAAAAACACACAAACAGGAATGCTGATTACTTCAACAGAGCACCAGAAATAAAAAGAAAACATTAGAAAAACAGAAAAACAAAAAAAAAAAAAGAAGAAAAATAAAACCGAAAAAAACAGAAAAACAAAAAAAAAAGAAAAGAAAACAGAAAACAGAAAAATAAAAAAAAAAGTATCATTGACAAAACTCATTGAGTATTGCTGGGGTGCCGCTCAGTTGTTGCTCCACAGAATTCTGCAATTTTTCTCCCCAAATTTATTCAGCAAAGAGCCGCGGTGCCCCACAGCCCCAGAAGTAGAAGCAAAAACACCCGAGACACACACCCATGCACGGTGCTCTCAGCAAATAGAGCCATGCCCGACAAGTCGCTCAAATGCTCGTGCTCAGGCAAAATGCCATGGTCCGAGAGCGATGTTGCGTTGGACTCCGATGAGATCTCGGTTTCCCCAGGCAGGGTGCTTGCATTACCCGGTGCGGTGCCAACGTCCTCACCGTCTCCATTTTGAACCAAAGGCGCAGTGGTTTCTTGCGTCTGCCGCTCAGTGGCCTCTTCCGGAGAGGTCGCTTCTTCTTCGTGGATCAGTCGCTCCACGTCGGCCTTCGGAATGCCTTCGGTCCCAAGAGGTGGTGGCACTTCTTCCTGCAGAGTGGTGCCCTCACGGACACCCATCCCGTCGTCGCCTGAATGAGCAGAGGTGCCCACACTCGATGGGGCCGGTGGAGACGCCAATTCGCCGCTGTCATCCGTCTCATTCTCCTCCTCCCTTGTTCCGTGCGAGCCACGGCTCCCAGAAGACACTGCGGCAGCATCACTGCCTTCAGGTGCTTCCACGGAGGATTGTGGCCGTGGATGCGCCTCCTCAACTTCCTGCTCTGCTTCCTCCTCTTCAGGTGATGATGGTGTTTCCTCTTCTTTCTCAATAGAGGACTCCTCACCAGGGCTTGGAATACGGACTGTGCTGACACTGAGTATCGATGCAGAGGGAGCCTCAGGCGCCAAAACATTGTTAGGGCTTGTATTTTGTCTCTCAGGATCCCCGTTACCCAACGCTGCATGGCTGCCGTGGGGTTCTTCGTTTCTCTTGACTGGAGTAGCCTCAAATTCACCGGTGGGCCTCGGCGGAATCTCCGGCACCGAGCGTGACTCCTCACCAGGGTTTGGAATAGGGACTTTACTGGCTCTGAGTTTCGCAATTTCATGTCCATAGATTATGCGGTTGTACAGCAGGACGTTGCTCACCGTCATGTGGCTGCTTTCCGAAACCTCCTTATTCTCCGCGCCAAAATAAAAGTGCGAGATCCTGTGCTCTTTAAACAGATCCCCGTTGTAGTACCCAGAATAAACCTGCATTCCATCAACGTACACATACCAGCTATTGAAATCCATTTGCAGCATTACTTGATGTGTTTTGTTTGGTTGCCAATTATAACTGCCTTTGTAATATTCATATTGTTCATCATCTTCATCGTCTTCGCCAATTTCATAAGCTCCGTTGGGAAGTGTGAACTCCCACTTTCTTTCATGGGTGTACGACAGACCAAAGAGGACCGTGCCTTGTGCATCGTTCATCCTCACGCCCATCAAGGGGATGGGACTGCTGCTTTCTTTCGGCACCTCGTGGATGGACACCGTCGCCACAAGAGTAAACTTGTTGTTAGCAAAGTAGTACGGCACAGTCTGCCCCGTGTCGCCAACAGGCCACACCGCCACTGCTCCAGACCCTTTGAACGTCAATCCATTGGGAACCCTTCTCTCCCCATTATTCACTGTTGCATTCACGCAGAGGTACTCGTCCCTCCAAGTGTTATCAGAGAAGTTACCGGACAAAAAGCCAACAAGCCCGTCGGTGGGAACAGTATCATTGCACATACCCTTCTTTCTCGGGTCGACAGTGGCGCTGGAGCCGGAACGGCATGTTCGCAAGGCGCTGTCCAAATCCTTCCATGTCTTCACCATGGATTTGATCCGCTCCAGCTGCTCCCTCAGGCTCAAGGCGACAAGACTGTATGATCCGTCGCCCTTCTTGTTTTCGTACACTGAGATCAACTTTTCATTCCCACTCTTCATCAACAGCGAGCTGGCGGCAGCGTCATCATCTTCACGGGATACCGGCCCAACATCATACACGCGTGTATTGTCCGTCAGCCAAAGGTGGAGCCGACCCTTTTGTTTATTGTCGTCCTTCGGATACACCGGCAGGGTGACGAGCATCACATCCTTGTCCTCAATTGTAACTTTGATGAAGGCATTCTGGACACCGTGCCCCTTTCGATCATGTGAGTTGCCCCACACGCGAGTAAGTGTCTCACCATATGTATGCCAATCCACCCCACTCACAGTGGATGCGTACACGTCACGGTAACCTTGCTCACAAGAAGCCATCATGAGGAGTCTGTTTTCTTCTCCCCACTCCACGATGGTCGGATCCCTGCAGCCATCACCAACCGTTTTGCGCGAAAGCTTCCATTTATTCTCTGAATTATCAAAGCGCATGGACAGCAATGAAGTCGTTCCTTTCTCTGTGGCCTGCATGGGAAACATGAGCGTACCGTCCTTCGTCTTAATCCCCGACCCTCCGCCAGAAACCAACTGGGTCGAAAATTTAGCAACATATTCATCGTTTCCAAACGTCACCGCATGGGTCTCCTTCCACGTGATTTCATTGCCACCACTGACGCTTCCCTTTACCAGCAAAAGTCCCCAGTCACGTGCATTAGCCAATTTATCCACCGACGGTGTAACGCTCTGATTTCTCAGAAGCATGTAGACACTGTCGCCAGCCACAACTGTCGTTGGCCGCATTGTGTCTTTTGCCTCGACGGCACCCGTCGCAACACCCTCTGGAAACTGCACCACCAAACTTGTGTCCTGCGTCAATATCTCCGTTGGCTTATCATCAGTTAGATCGAGGTGCCTTGACGCAATCCCAGCACGGCTGCAGCTTTCTCCTTTTTCCTTGCACAGCGCTTCAGCAACGAAGAACACGTTATTGTTCACCTCAACAAGGCTGGGAACGCGGAGCGAGAATAATGTTTCATTAACTTTTGTAGGGGCTTCCCATTGAGAGGATGTCCATCCGATCCCTGTGAATGGATCAACGTCAGTCTTCGTCTGCACAGCGTGCGCAGCGCCACTGGTGCCGCATAACACGACGACGAGAAGCAGCACCGCAGAGCAGAAGAGATGCCGGGACATGTTGGGCCTCTGCAGCTCACTCTCTCTTCCTTCCTTCCTCCTTTCGCTGGATCCGGTCACGCGAGTACGGCTGTGTGTGCGGGGTGCCATGACTGCAGCAACAATTGAGAGTATATAAATACGTGTGTGTGGGCGGTGTGTGTGTGTACTGCTGTTGTTCCTTTCACAGCCCTCAGAGTGCACAGTAGCGATTCGCGCTTGTTTTACTTCCTTTTTGTGTGTGTGAAGGAAATGGAAAAAGTCATGGAGGAGAAACACAGCGAGCTGCAAGGGAAGCCAGTGCGCACCGGCAGCAGCCACACGCCATGGACGAGGAGAAGAGACCCATCGCCTCCAGAACATTCTCACGGGCAACGGGATACGGCCACATCCCCGCAGCCAACACACAACGCACCCGGAGCTAGCACCCACCACGCCAGCCACACGTTGAAGTGGGTCCTCACCCATCCACCAGTCACGCGGCGCCAAAATTTGCACTGCCATCCCGCCTTCAATAGAATGCAGTGCTTCACGCGGTGACACAAAATAAAAATAATCTTCTGGGCCGCTTTCCTCATCCTGAGGTTATCAATCACAAAAAACAAACTAGACGGGAATGAGAAGTAAATGGAATAAGAGTGCGTTCACCACATCCTCAAACTTTACACCAAGTAAATGTATATATATACATCATCCTATAGCCACAATCGTGACATACTGCATTCTACTCGGATTGGATGTATATATATTTATTACTTACGAAGTGGCAGACTTTGGGGTCCTCCAGCCACAAGACTCCGCCGCTGCCCTTCGCAAGTTCTACCCCCTCGCCACGTCCTGAAGTGCAAAAACACGACCGCGTGATATGCCGTCTGCGGGGTTGCCTTTCGGCAGACCGCACGTAGGCAACGGATGCCTGTACTCCGCGAGAGTCCAAAAACTCATATATCCGTTGCGGCTCCCACGTCATGGCGTGTGATTGTGAGTTGCCTTTGTTCGCCGCTCCTTGCGGCGAAGTGTTGTCCACCCAATGTCCATGGTGGGTGGCGAGACGGCGGGAAAGGCCGATAAGGCTAAGCGTACCACGCGCACCGAGGCCTGCATGATAAGAAAAGCCTTCCTCTTCCATTTCCTCCCGGCAATTTTAACGTCGCCGGAGTCTGGAATATAAACGGCTGCCCATCCATGGAGCGATGCGTCCGTGATGACGGCGGCCGATGCCTTTTCAGTGGTATTGACGTTTCGCTTGCAACTATGTTCTCGACCATGTGTCGCAATCTCTCGCCCAAACCAACCGCTGCCGGCGGAACGTTAGCCGGGGATGTCTCCTGCACAATTCCCCGGTTGAGTGCGGATAATCGTCGTCGCACTGCCTTGATGAAAAAGTAGTATCCGCATAAACGCGTGACGCCATAACCTCCATTTCAGCGAAAGTTTCAAGAATTCCGCGCCGACATGGCGCATACGGACCGGACAAACGTGTCGCTCAGGGATACCGCCTGATATGTATGATCAAACAGCACTCCCAGGAAGGTGTACTGCGTGGTGCCGA